CTCAGCTTGCCACAGTTAATGTGTTTTATGAGTCAGTAAACCTTGGAAAAAAACCTAATGTACTGTTGAAGCAAAGGAAAAAAATTAATTTGTTTCAGCACTTATTTTTCTGTGCAAACAATTCTTTCATGTAGAAAGAACTCTTGACCTTTTTTGGCATAATCTTCTGAACTTTCTCATCAGTATCTGTTCAGCTGTGGATCATTGTGTTTTGAGAGACAGAAACCTTTAATCTACATGGAAGGGAATGTGAGATCTAGTCATTCTCTGGGCATGGAATTTGGGCTTGATCTCTACACTAAGAAAGGAGGTATAAGAGAAGCTTACTGAAAGGGCTGGTACCATATTGTGTTACTTTAGTGGCCTTGGCCAAGACGTTTCAATGATGTGAGATCTCTCACTTGTAAATTCAAGTTATATCAGTTAGCTACTGCTGTATAACAAGTCATTCCACAACTTTCTGGCTTAAATCCACAGTCACGTATCACTTAATGATGAGATATGTTCTGAGAAATATGTCATTAGGCAATTTTGTTGTATGACTATCATTGAGTAGTATACTTATATAAAGTACTATGTCACTAGGTTATATAATCTTAAGGAACCTCCAGCATATATGTGGTTTGTCATTGACTGAAATATTATGTGGTACATGACTGTATTACTTTTCATTATATTCTGGGTTGTCTAGGTTGATTGCTGGATTTTCCTGGGCTCACTCACATGTCTAGATGTATTTGGAAGGTTGGCTGGGAGTTGGGCTTACTTGGGATAACAGAAATGGCTGGGCATTTATCTCGAGGTAGTATATTTCATTTTGGGCTTTTTTATACTATAGTGGTCTTGTGGTCCCAAGAATGTGAAGGTGGAACCCTCAAGTCTGGTGTAAAATGACTTACACAGTGTAATTTCTACCCTGTCTCTCAGTCAAAGCAAGTCTCAAGGACAAATGAGATTTGAAGAATGGTGAATCTACCTCTTGAAAGGAGGAACCCCAAATCACTGTGACCAAGTTTTTTTTTTTTTGGAAAGCAAAACAGACCTTTATTAGTCTGGCCAGAAGGCACTCCCAAAGCAAAGTAGCTTAGAGAGGCCAAGTTTTTTTTTTTTTAATCTATCACATCACTGGTAACCTAGGAAAGAATTATTAAAATATATGGGCCTGGGGTTGGTGGTCATATCTGAGTTTGAATTTTATTTATTTAATTTGTTTACTCTGTGTGTGTGTGTGTGTGTGGTACTGGGTACTGAACCTAGTACCTTCACACTGAGTTACTTCCTCAGCCTTTTCTTTACTTTTTATTTTGAGACAGGGTCTCACTAAATTGCCCATACTGGGCTTGAACTTACAATGCTCCTGTTGCAGCCTTCCAGAGTGCTGGTATTATAGGAATGTGCCGCTATGCCCTGCTTTTTATTTGCTTTTTTGGTAGAACTGGGGATTGAATTCAGGGTCTCACACATGCTCTACCACTGAGCATTATCCCAGCCTGTGAGTCTTAATAGTTGGTATCTCTGTCAGGTATTTTTATTTTTTTTTTAGTACTGGGGATCCAACTCGGGATCTTGTGCATGTGAGGCAGGTGGCGGCACCACTGAGCTAAATCCCTGGCCCTCTGTCAGGTGTTTTTATTTTTTTATTTTTTATTTTTATTTTTAATTTTCTTTTTGGTACCGGGGATTGAACTCGGATCTTTGCGTTTGCGCAGCAGGCGGTGAAACCACTGAGCTAAATCCCCGGTCCCCATCAGGTATTTTTGGAGTTATTCAACTCTCATGTATATGAGGTAGCTGGATATGTGCATGTATATTTCAAAGTGAAGCTATCTCATATAACCTCAAGCCTCCTTTCTTCATCTTTGTTGTTGTTGTTCAGTACTATGGGTTGAACCCAGGGCCTTCACACGGAGCTATGTCCCCAGCCCTTTTATTCTGAGACAGGATCTTCCTTAGTTGCTAAATTACCCAGGCTGGGCTTGAATTTATGTTTCTCCTGCCTCAGCCTCCCAGAGTGCTGGGCTTATAGGCATGTATCACTGTGCTTGGCTTCATTTCTTCATCTTGAAAATAGGATCACCTCTGGGATTTTATGAGAGTTGTTATCCCCATTATATAAAATTTACAAATCTAAAACAAACAAAGAAAAAAAAGAGAATTGGATCGGTAGGGCTAGGGATGTAGCTCAGTAGTAAAGTGCTGGCCTAGCCCCAATGCTCAAAAAAAAGAAGGTGAAAATGTGAGATCAGTAATAGTGCCTGTATTGGCCATGCAAGGAGACTGATTAGGTGGGCTGACAGGATTAGAGGTGGGAGAGTCCACCATGGCCACCTACTCACTGGAGAGCCAGAGAAAACAGCAGCTACGCAGTCCAGGAAGCTAAAAGCCTCATAACAAATGGAATCGAGGATGCAGGGCGAGTCAGAGACTGAAGGCTGGGAAGCTCCCTGGAGAGTTGCTGATATGAGTCTACACTGAAGGACTGAAGAAACTGGACTCTGATGTCCACAGGCAATGGCAGCAACAAAAGATGCAACTCCCCCAAGCAGCATGGAGGTCCTCAAATGCAGGACGACTTCCTCCTTCTCCTTTCATTCCACCTGGCCTGTAAGCCTACTGGATGGCGCTACACACAGTCAGGGAGGTCTTCCCCTCAATTTGCTGGCCTACCTGCCAATCATCTCTAGAAATACCCTATAGATACACCCAGAAGTGCTGTACTAATTTGATAGCCATTTCTTAATCCAGTTAAATTGGCATATCATAATTAAGGGTCAGAGTGCCTCTCACATAAATTGTGAGGATTAAATGAGAGGGACCATGTATGGGAACTGCTTTGCAAAGTACCTGGCACATGGTATGTATTCAAAGGAATGATACCTAATTTTACTTTTTATTTTCTTATTTCATTTTTTATGGTTCTAGGGATAGAACCCAGGACCTAAGCAAGTGACCTATTGCTGAGTTACATCTGCAGCCCAATTTTTCTTATTTTGAATTCTTAGCTAACTGTGTTTATTTCACAAGTAATTCACATTCCTTGAAGAAAATTGGAAAATCAAGAAAAGCAAAATGAGAAAAATTATTTCAAGTAACTTCATGTCTTACCACTCAGATTAGCTACTAACAATGCCTGTGTAAAATACACATGAAATCTAGACTGATTTCGGTGCCTATCCACATATTGATTGATTGACTGATTGTGTGTGTGTGTGTGTGTGTGTGTGTGAGTGTGACAGAGAAAGCGAAAGAGAGAGTCAGAGAGAGACACAGACAGAGCGAGAGACAGAGAGACAGAGAGGTGGGTAAGAAGAGTGAGGGGAGGGAGAAGAGGGAAAGGTGTATTTGTTGTTAGATATTTTATAAAATTAAAGGAAAAATTCCAAAAATACCCATTACTTTTTATTATTGGCACTTCCTCTTCACCCTGGGATATTTAGGGCCCAGACACTGCAGTGTGTACTACCCAATTCACAACTTGCCATTTTAGTCTTCCCTGTATTCTAGATATTAGGGTGCCAACTCATTCCTCATGCTTCTAGACCTCAATTTCTCAGAACGAATCTAGAAAGTGGCTCTTGAGATGTTCTGAGAAAGAAGTGTTCTTTGCAAATAAATTAGGGAAATGCTCCACATTATTTCCTAGTCTTTGAGAAACACAGATGCTTATTAACATATTAAAAACTCAGATTTAAGTGAACTCTTTAATTTAATTTTAATTTTAATTTTTTTGGCTTTTTGAGACAGGGTCTCACCATGTAGTTCAGACTGGCCTTGAGCTCCCTGTGTAGCCTTGAACTCCTGTCTCTGCCTCCTGAGTGCTGGGATTACAGGCTTGGCCACCACACACAGCCTGTAATTTTATTTTGAAAAGTGACATACAGCATGTTAGCTTTCTGTTACTTTGATGAAATACCTGAAATAAATCAATTTAAAAGAAAAAAGGTTTGTTTTGGTTCTTGGTGTTGGAGGTTTCATTGGCTCTGTTCCTTTTTGGGGCGGTGGCAAAGCAGAACATCACGGCAGGAAGTGTGTGGTGGAGGAAGCTGCTCACTTCCTGGTGGCAAGGAAGCAAAGAGAGGGAGGGGCTGGGGTCCCTGTATGGCCTTCAAGAACACTTGCCTAGCAACCTCACTTTCTTCCACCAGACTCCACCCACAAAAGGGTCCACCTCCCTCCCAGCGGCACCATAGGCTGTCACCCAAGACTTTACCAAATGAGCCTTTGGCGGACATTTAAAATCCTAAAAATAAAATTAAAATTTGGGGGTATATACAATTCTATGAAATTTCACACATATTTAGATTCATGTCACCGCTAACACAACCAGGATACAGAACAGATTTCTCCCACCCCCAAAACTCTCTTGCTGTCTTTTTATAGTTACACCCCAACCACTTCATCCCTGGAAACTATTGATTTGTCTTCCACCACTGTAGTTTTTGTTTTTCCCAATCCAAGAGTGTTATATAAGTGAAATCACACAGTGTACAGCCTTTGTGACTATCTTCTTTCATTCAAGCGATACCTTTGAGACACAGCTATGTTGTTGTATGCATGAATAGTTAGTCTTTGTTATTGCTGATTTGTATTCTATTGTAGGGATGTACCAATGTTTATGTATCCTGCAGAAGGATATCTGAGTTGTTCCTAGTCTATGTTGGTTGTGAACAGAGCTGCTATAAGTGTTTGTGTATAGATTTTGATATGAATGTAAAATTTTCACTTCTCTAAGATTGGTGCCCCATAAATGGCTTGCCAGGTTATCTGGTAAATTCATGTAAGCAAACTATTTGTGTAGTGCCTGTCAAGGTCCCACATAACCAGTATTGCACAGAACATACTGTTAATATCCTGTGGACTAATATCTCACAGAATGCCCATTGGGAAATAAAGCTTTGGGAAGGTCTTGAATACTGTCACTTAATGCTGTTTTCGAAAGTCAGAAAAAAAAATTAAAGGACCAACTGGCAACATGTGTATCATTATCTCATTTAATTTAGCTCTCACAAAAACCTGTGATTCTGCAGATGAGGAAACTGGAGCCCTGAGAGGTTAAACAACTTGCTTAAAATGTGCACAGCTGGTAAGTCGCTGAGATTTGAACCATTGTGTCCTATCTCCAAGTCCAGGGCATGTAAGTCTACTTCCTTTGCCTGTCTTTTCTCTCTTTGAATAGCTTCTCTTTTTCCTTTGGCCCTGGTGGAGGCAGTTTTCTCCAGACAACTATCAGTAGATCTGAGTTATCGCTTAGCTAATCACCATTGCTGTTTTGTTCCTGGACTTTGTCTTAGTTATCTGTTGCTGTGAAACAAACTACTTCAAATCACAATAATTTAAAAATAGTTAAAAATCACATATGATCTTTTATGATGTGTTTGAGTGAAGAATTCAGACAGGGCCCAGCAGAATGGCTTTCTCTTTTGCCTCTTGCCCCGGGCTTGGGTTGGGCTGGAAGACAGGAAGTCTGGCTAGAGGCATCTGAAGGACCGAATGTTCACTGGTCTGCCAGTTGATTCTGCATGTGGGTGGAAGATCTACCTGGGGCTGTTTCCCGAAGCACTCACAGGTGCCTTCCCCACGTAGCCTGGGCTTCCTTACAGTGCTATGCCTTGGATCCAAAGGCTCACGTCCCAAGAGAGGGAGAGGCAGGTGGAAGTCACAAACCCTCACTTCCACCACATTCTATTTCTTAGAGGTAAGTCACTAAGTCTGGCCTGTGTTCAAGGGGCAGTAACTTTGATTCCCCCTTTGAAAGGGAGGAATGTCAAACAATTTGTGGAAATGTTGAAAAGCCATCAGATGTTAGGCACATATTGGACACAGACAGTGTCCGTGTAGCAGTCTTTGTGTGAAGCTCACATAGCCTGTGAAAAGCAAAGTGTTGGAATGAAGGTTTCTTATTGACGGTGTTGGGAACTAACTGTTTTCAGAGCTTACGTAGGGTGTACCCACAGTGATTATTTGCTGGCTAGAGAGAATGCTCTTGGAATCCTAACCTCTCTGCCCTTTGGTGGGTATTAATGACAGTTTCATCCAGCCAGCTGTCTCTGGCTAGACTCAGAAATAAGATAGAAGAAACTGAGTGGAATCTCATTCAGGGCTTATTCTTTATGTAATTCTACAAAATGGTGTTGTGATTTCAGTGTCCATATTTTCATTATTCAGTGCAAATTTTTATGCATAGTGAAATTAGCAAGAACTCTTTCCAAAGTGACAGTCAGCTAAAGGAGGGAATTCAATGGTTCATTGAACTGAGAAGTTCAAGTGGATAAATTTATCGTGGTTAGATCTTGGCCCCAAGGAATGTTTTTAGGATATAGTTTCTCTCTGTCCAGGTTTTTCTCTGCATTTTAGCACTACTTCCTGATGCTGTTGGTTTTATTCTCAGGGAAGTTCTTCCCAGGGGATGTTCCAGACTGACACCATCGGCTCTGGGAAAACATTCTGGGGTCTAGCATGCAGTGGTCTAGCATGCAGTGGTCTAGCAGTGGACCAAGTTATCTCTTCCATAGTTCCATAAAGGCAAAGAGATTGATGCTGATTGGCAAGTCTTGGGTCACATGCTCAGCCCTAAGCCAATCACTGTCACAGGAAATCAAGTCCTGGACAATGGGCAGTCAGCCCCACTTGGACCCATGAACTAGGGTTGGAAGAATTTATTTTTTAAAAAGATGAATTTTTTTGGTTTGTTAATCAAAAGGCAGTATGCTAAGTATTGCCCTTTGTGTACACCGACGTGCTTTTTGACTCTGAGAACGTTGTCTCCTCTCCAAGGAGCTTTTCCCTCTTTGTCCTCATAATCATGTTTCCACTCAACCTTGGAGGCTCTGAGTCTCTCCCACAGGAGAACAAAATAAAGAGGAAACATATACTTTCTTAGTATAAGGTCTAGCTCTTAAATACTGATGCCTTGATCTACCTCCGTGACTCCCCAGATTCCTGAGTTTTAGCTGAGTCAGTATTTGTGGAGCACAGATCATTATGGTTTTGATCTTAATTTTCTGTGCTCCTCACTTGTCTCTCTAGCCAAGAAGTGATTATTCCATGGCCTGGGGTCTTGACTTTGGACTTTTGGATTCTTTAATCTCTGGTATTAACATGCCTGTTAACTAGCATCTCAATTCTCTTAATTCTTGTCTCTTGTCTTGTTACTCTGTTACCATCCCTATCTTGACTTCATAGTCTCTCTTGGCCCAAGGTATTTCCCAGCTGACACTTCCTGATCAGTATTCTGGGCCATATCTTTTGTGTTGATAGGCCTTCCTCTCTCCTTTTGTCTTTCGAAGGACAACTGATGTACAAATGGATTAGCCTTGGATTCAGAACCAGAACCCTGGGCTTAAAACATAGTGTAGCATTATGCGACTCTAGGCAAGGCTTTTTCATATCTCTGAGCCCCAGTTTTATCATCTGTAAATTGGGAAGAATGATACCTACTTCCCAGAATTGCCTTGGGGATTAAACAAAAGAATGCAAGCATTGCAAGATAGTAATTCTATAATGCTAGTATGTGTGTGAGTGTTCAAAATGAATTTATTTTGTCCTCTTCCTAGTGATATAGGAGAAATATAACTCCTAACCTGCTAGATATCAGATACACCGAATTTGTGTTCCTCAAAATCAAAGAATGAATTCCAAGGAACAATGAAGGTTAAGAATAGGAAAGATTTATTGAGAGATAGTTCCTGAGAGACAGGAGGGGTCCTCAAAGGGAGTTGCCACCAAGGCAACTTTGTCAGGGGTAATTTATACAGCAAAGTCACAACCTTGGTACAACTGTGGTCAAATTACAATCAAATAGGATTACAAGTATAGCTGTTTAGCTAATATTGATCCAATAGGGAAGTGGGTCACATAGCAAGGGTATTTGGAAAGAACAAAGGCATTTTAGGGAAGGGATGGATCTGGATGCTCTGGTCTCCCACCTAGGTGACTGATGTCCATCTAGACTTTACTAGACCAGGTGGTACCAGTTATAGTATAGTCTTGAGTTACTGCTTATCCCCTGAGGGATATAGGCCAGGCAATTCCATCTTTATCTTGAGGCCTGGACTTCCGTGGATGAGCTTCCAGCCACAGTTGTGCAGTATTCTCATCTTCTGCACTGGCTCCCTTGAGGGCCTAGCCCTGTCTGACTGCCTATTAATTTCTACCTAACTTAGCTGCCTATAATATTAGCATCTTCCCTGTCTGAGGTTTTCTCTGCTAAAGCAGGGTGCTCAGCTCACTGACTCAGGAAGGGAAATGTCAGAGCAGGAAAAAAAAAACAAAACCGAAAAACAAAATAGGGATCTTTCCAGCTTTGGTTTTCAAAAGCTTAGAGCCCCCAGGGGAGCACAAAGAACACCTGGATAGGGCCAAAGTGATGAGAGAACCAGGTCTAAAGAGGGAAGACATTCTCCCTCAGACTTGCAAAGAGCCTACTGTTCTGGGCAGAACAGAGGAGAGAGGGGAAGGGAAACAAACAGAGGAGGTGCAATGAAAGCAGAGATGCTGCCAAACCTGGGGTGTCGGGTGCTGTTCTCTGTTTTTTGGGCAGAGTCCTGAGGAGCAGAAAGGACATGTCCAGGGAGTGAGCCAGCAATTCTGAGTTCCCAGCTTGGCCCAAAAATGGTCTGGGCTGGAAGAGGCCACACAGCCTGGGGATGAGGGACATGTCAGTGGTGATCAGAGAAGACTGATGCTCATGGGCCAGACACAGTGATGACGATTTCAACTGATAACTGTAGGAATGGATGGCAGCAAGGACCAGAATGCACCCCTTCTCACATCCAGGGTTTCTCATGAATATTCACAACCTAGCAGCACCCTGAAAGTGAAAGGAAGGGTTCACATTAATTAGGGTCACGTTTTTAACACCTGATTGGATGGGGCTAAAAATGAAGTGGAGTTATACAAGTATTACAGTTTTGTGCATGGCTGTGTGATAGATTGAGAACCATAACCAGTACCCATAGAAAGCACCTTGCTTTAGTCTTTTGGTGGGTACCACATATGTTTGCTGAGTCTGAATCCAGATGTTGTTGAGCCTTTAAATCTATTTCATGTTCTGCTTAATGCCTAGGGCCCAGGACAGCCATTCCTATATCAGTGGTCACAAAGTGTGGTCCTTGGATCTGCAACACCAGCCTCCCTGAGCACTTGTTTAGAAACACACACTCTGCAGCCCCATGCTAGAATCATTGAATCGGAAAGTCTTCCAGAGCTTTCTGCAGCATGTGAGAATTTGAGAACCACTACCTCACATCATTTCAGCTTCCCAGTCTTATTTGCACATTCAAACATGAATAACCAAGCCCCTCTTGGGTGCTTGGCTGGTTTCTGCTTGGGGCCAGCCACACACTGTGGGCTTCTCTTAGAAAGACAGTAGAGCTTCTGACTTTCCTTAGAATTTTCCTCATTTTGACACCAGCTTCATTTCACTTCATTGGGGGTCCAGCTTCTGGAAGGGAAATGGAGAGATGAAGAGCAGATTGTTTAGTAAATAAATGGGGAGAAGGAACTGCAGGCAAACGTGGTCTTAAAGCTTTACCAAATCTCCAATGAACTGGAGAATTTCAGAGGGAATGATTTTTGTGGCCAGCAAGCTCCTGGGGAAATGTGTGGCCCAAGCACTTCCTTGTTTCTGGGTCAGGAAATGAAGCACACAGATGGAATTTACAACGGGCACATGAATGGAGTCCACACAGCCAGTGACCTTGCTGAGGAGGCTACTTGGCAAAGGCTCCTTTCACAGGCTCTATTCACAAATAGTGAGCACTCCCAGGGCTCTCAGAAGAACAAGGCTCCTGGCTGGCCCCTTTTTCTTTTTCCTCGACTGCTTTTCACTCTTTATGGAGGACTGCCCCTTTTCGGCCCACTTGGGATTGGTGTGAGCCTTGGTTTGGCAGGAGAAAGGAGGAAGTCCACGGTGGCCTACAAAACTGAATTACTCTGCCTCCCTGGCCCCTTTGCCTCAAATAATAGGCTTTTGTTCTTTGAAATTCAGGGAAGTCCCCATTTCTCAGGCTTAAAAAACAAAACAAAACAACCTTCTTTCAAGCTCCTCTCCTGTCTTAAGATGCTTAGCAGGAAACAGTGAAGGGTCAGAACAATAATAAAATTATAAAATTAAACCTGAAAGAATTTTAGATGTTGTTGGAGAACTGACTTTTAAAGAAATATATTTGATGCATTCTTTCAGAAGGACAAAAATATTGGCTCAACTTAAAAATTCAGCTTTAAAAAATATCATAGGGGACAAATGTTTTATATATACATGTAATATATATTTCATATATGAATA